AAGTCTCTGTTTAAAAGGTAATGTTGCAAAATTGATGCTCTGAAAACATCAGCTACCATTTCACCTGTGTCGACACTTCACCAAAAACAACGACATGTAAAAACAACAGACAATAAACTCTCATGGTAAACTCTCACAGTTGTTCATGGTGCAAGCACTCTCATAGTAAACTACCACATAGTAAATTCCCCTGGTGAACTCTCATGGTAAACTCTAGAGTAAACTCTCACAGGATATATTCTCGTATAAAACACTAATAGTAAACTTTGAGTAGCAAACTCTCGTAGTGAACTCTCAGAGTTAACTGTGACAGAAAACTTTCATAGCAAACACTTATATAGTAACCTCTCAAGCCATCAGGGCCGCCAAACAAACATTCCTTTTTTCCTCTGTGTTCTTGCCAAAACGCATATGCGTCATGTCATGATGCAACACTCACGGTCTCAAAAGTCATGCTTGGTCACTCACGTCTTGTGACAAACATATTTTTTCTCTGTTTTTGATGTGCTATATTATAGGAAAAATCGCAAACGTTGAAAAATGCTACAATGTTCATGCTGGTCGAATTCCAAGATGAGGTGCTTTTTGGTACACTTGCAAGAGAGACTGTGAGAGAGTTCAAATACTTTGAGAGTTTGATTGTACATGGCAAGCCTCACTTTTTACAGACTGGTCGCACATAGCTGTTTTATCGAAACACAAAGGGGCGTACTCCGTTCGTGACCTTCCACCCATGGCGTCCCAAAGTTCCTTGATGCGTTTCAAGTCCACCTGCGACGGTTGGAACCCAGCTGACTCCCAAGAAGTTCCAGATTCACAAGAAGCTGAGAAAGGTGACACGGACTCAGAGAAGACCCTTTGCCTGGATGACTTCGCAGAGACTGAGGAGAAAGAAGGTGGGCTCACCCAACAAGCTACACCTGACGACTTCAAGGAGATGAAGCCTGCCGAAGAAGTTACACCTGACCTGAGCAAGGAGACAGGAGAGTTCTTTGGGCGCAAAATGAAGGTGGCTTATGGTCCAGGGTATGGACCTGGGTCTTTGGATGGAGCCATGCTGCAAACTCTTTTGGGTGGCCTCATGGATAAGACGAGGCTGAAGAACTATGTGGGTGGATTCGAGGAGCATCTGGCTGATGCTGCCGCATCATCGAGCCAGAAGACTCCTGATCAGACTCGTGAGAAGACTCCAGCAGGAAAGAGTGTACGCAAGAAGAAGGGAACTTCGTCCAAGGGTAAAACACCCAAGAAGTGATCTCTGAAACAACAACAGAGTATCTCACATTTTGTTGAGCAGCAGCTTGATGAAGCTGGAATTTTTGTGATCGTGTTCATTGCCGAGAAAACAAGCGCAATGTACTGAGCAGTTTTCATACTTTGCTGGCTTACTGACTTCGAAGTGTCTAAGTAGTTTCGAACAAACTTCGACTTTGTTACATATGGCCAAACGCCATTGAGCCATTGACAAGTTTAGACCAATTTTGCTGAAATGGCAAATAGACTTGACATAGAAATGATCAGATCTAGCGCAGAGTGCCGACAGAGATTTGGAAAAAAGGTGCGTCTCACTTCTTGAACACAATCATGTACTTTGAGAACATGTCCACAGCACTTCGAAGTTTCTAAGAAGTTTCGAAGAAACTTCGAAGCTATGACTTAGAAGTTTGTTCGAAGTTTATTCGTAGTTTCCAATGAAACTTCGTACAAACTTCGAAGATATGTTGATAAAACACTGTAAATACCAATATATTTGATAATGAAACTTCGAAGTTGGACTTCGAAGTTTCCATCATAAACTTCGAATTGCCCTTTCGAAGTTTCGAAGAAGTTTCGAACAAACTTCGAAGCTTACATTTGACTGCTGTTTTTGGCCACTGTCGCACAATCAACATTTTCAATCAGTTTCGTTCAGAAACGTGTCATTTGTTTTGACTCCACAAGACGTTTTCACAACTTGTCGGATCTACTAACCGCAGAATTTTCTTTCCACAGCCACTTAGATACATTCATAGGTTTCGACTTCTGTGAAGAGCTGTGTGCTTGCAATGCCGGTTTTGAAACGACCATCATCGAATTCTTCGGCAATGCCCAAAAAGAAGCCAGCCAAGGAGACAATCCCAGGAACAGTTGCATGTCTCAGGAAGGGGATTCAAAATGATGATGACAATGCTGATGGTGATGAAGGACAGCGGGACAAGTTGAAGGCTGAGAAGTGGGCAAGACTTCGTTCCACTGGCGCACTTCCGGAGTACTTGCTGCAGCTGTACGACCAGGAGTCAAAGCAATCACCGCTGGGGAAGCGGGCATTTCAAACCACAATCATAAACAAACTCTTCAAGAAGGTCAACGGTGCCTGGCAATTGGACACGAGTGACGCCCAATTCAAGGATTACAAATCTCTCTACGAGCGCCGCTACTCGAAAGAGGAGAACGAAGCGATGCCGAAATCGTTGATTGTGGGCCTCTATTATCAGGGGGACGAGCAGAAATTTAACCGAGCTTTGGAATTGGGCGAACTGCAGCATGTCAAAGATGACGGCGGTGTGCGGTTCTACTCATACAAGAAGCTCACCTCTGCAGTTGAGAAGGGCAGTGATCAGAGGCTCGAAGCCATTGGGACGAAGAAAGGCAAACTTCAAGAGTTTCATGAGATTGGGAATCTGTTGTCCAAGTTGAGCTGGACGTTTCGCAAGAAGCCAGGAGATCAGAAGGAACTTACTGCTGGGAGCCTCCCCACTAGCTACGAGGCCTTGATCAAAAAAGCACATGGAGCTTGTGACAAGTTGTCGAAGGACACGCTCAAACTTCAGAAAGAGGTGGGGCATGAGCGCAAAGAGATCATGAAGGATGGATACAAGTCCATGACTGGTCACTTGGCCACTTTGGATCACATGAAAAACTTTGTGGAAATGCCAGATGGCACGAAGCTCACCAGCACGGTTTTCGAATCAGCTCTTGGAGATATCGCTTCTTCGGTTGACCAGCTGAACACGAAGATTGAGGAGATCAAAGGCTACATGAAGTCCAAGGCCAAGTGAGTCTTGATTCAAGTCTGTGTGAGATATCCACAGAAAATTTCTCAAGGGCCTGAATACAAATGTTTGAGTATGTGTGTGAAAACCACATAAATTTTGTGTATCTGGCCGTCAACGGTGAGTCAAATGCGATGGGGAAAACAGTGCAAATGCGTGACAGTTTTTCTGTATATGCTTTGAAAACAAGTTCTTGTCAGAGAAACACTCTGTGAAACATGTGTGTTCATGCTTTTTTTACAATTAAATTGGGACCCAAGGTGTGGTGGTATTTACAGTTGTTTAGTTTTGTATATAGTTTGCCTGGTTCTAGTGTTTGAAAAGAACTTTGAGATAACCATGTGGGAAAACGTTGTGTCAGACTTTGAGAGAACTTTGAGGGATCTTTGAAAGAACCCTGAGAGAACCTTGAGAGGAAACCCCGAGAGAACTCTGAGAGAACTTTGATAGAACATTGTGACAGGACTTGGACGGACTACTTTGATAGAACATTGTGACAGGACTTGGACGGACTCTCTCTCTCTCTCTTTCTCTCTTTCTCTCTTTCTCTTACACATTTCTGACTGATGTCTTCTCATGCAACAAATTTCATGTACACAAATTACTTTGATGCCCTCTGTGCAGTCGTACTGTCTAACCGTGAGCGAGTGAGAGTAAGATTTGGAGTGAGAGTGGGTTACTTTGAGAGAGGAAAGAGATGGTTTACGGGTATCACACTGTGTGACGAATCTTGTCTAAAACCTTCCATTTTTAAACATCCAGATGCTGAAACAAAAGAACACAGTATCAGAATAGTGAATTATGATCCTGGAAATCGATTATCGAAAGACTTTTTCAAACATGTTCAAACAGTTCTAACACATGTATACTGTGCCATTGGTGACGTAGCATTTTCCTCATATCAATTTCAAACCCTTTCGTGTAGTTGTGGACTGTCACTTGAACCTGCGGCCATGGAGAGCTTCCAGCTGAAGAACCTGAACCCTGCGCAGCTGTTTCAGCTGTTGTTCCTCACCGTGCTGGAGCTGGCAGAGCGCTTCCAGATCAACCTGAGGGGGCGGCCGCGTGTTTTCATGCGGGAAGAACCTGATGAGGAAAACCCACCAGAAGCTGTCCAGCCACCACCGGTGCCAGCTCATGGGCCAGTACGTGCTCGCAGATGCCAGAGTGCCTGCCGCTTCTGCGTGCAAGGCTGCGACCGAACGAAGCCCTACCACAAGCATCATGCTTGCCAAGGACATGCCCACCTGAGGTTTTGAACTTTGAACAAGGTTCCACAGCAGTACAATAGATTATACAGTATTTAGCAATTCATGCAAAGTTCCAACCTTGAACCTTACAGATCTTCAGGGAATTGTGGAGCGCAGAGAAGAAAAAAGGCGGTCGCATCCTAGAGAAAGTCGAGAAGTTTTGGGTTGAAGTTGGTTCACTGTGAGAGAACTTTGAGAGAGGTTGTCGTGTTGTGACCTGGTTTTTTTTGAGAGAGGTTGTCGTGTTGTGACCTGGTTTTACTTTGAGAGAACTTTGAGAGATACTATATCGTGTTGTGACCTGGTTTTGCTTTGAGAGAACTTTGAGAGAGGTTGTCGTGTTGTGACCTGGTTTTACTTTGAGAGAACTTTGAGAGAGGTTGGACTTGTGTAGAAGGAAAATGTCCGAAAGTTCTAGGTTTGAAGGCTGTCAAGATGGTTGCACGCTGACTCTCAAAGTGAACATCAACAACACTCTCATGGTTAGGACACACTCTCATGGTCGCCAAAAAAAACAGGAACAAAATGTGATATCCACTTTCTCGACCCCGTATGCAATGTTTTTATTTTCAGATCAGAAGAACAAATAAATATGTGTCGTATAAATAACCAAACCTTTCAACACCATCATAGAGTATAAGAAGAGTTTCTTGTCAGGGCCACAGCTGTGCACCCCATATCGACATACATCTGAATTAGATCTTTGCTTAGCACCGCCATGGTGGCGCACATGTCTCGAAAACGTGATCGTTCTGGTGGCCAGAGGCAAAGACTGCGACGCATGTTGCAGGAAGAACAGCTGAACTGCCAGAGCGTTCTCTGTACTTGGTTGTTGTCAATGTTTGCATGGGGACACTTTAGCGTGCAACGAGTACAAAAGATCAGTGCTTTGGCTATGAAAGATTTGAAGAGTGCTGAGACTTCTGAAACAATCTGGAATGACTTGGAGACATTATCCAAGTTAGGAACTGAAGGTCTGTACGCGAACAAGATGCACACGGAGCTCATGGGCAAATGCAAAGGCTTGTCTAACCTACCGGAGCCTTACCCAGTGGATATCCAATATGCTCCGCCTTTGGGCATGCAGAAACAGGATGTTTTTCTTCCTCATGAAGTCTTCAGCGCAATTTATCACAAGTATCCACAAACATGGCAAAAAACGATGGTACCGTCGCAGGCTCACTTGGAAAGGTTCTGGACAGTCACCGATGGCCATCCAACCTTGGTTAATTCCCCACTGAAAGAATGTCCTTCTTACAAAACGAAAACTGTACCTATCCTGCTGCACGGGGACGGGGTTCCAATCGTCGGAATTGGAAAGGGATGGTCCAAGATTGCAACTGTGTTTAGCTGGGCCAGCATGCTTACATCTTCAGGGACCAAGGAGTCCATGAAATTTATATGGGGAGCTTTCGACAAACTCTGCAAAAAGGATGGTGAGGGAACTGATGGTACATTTTCAACATTTTTCAAAGTTCTAGTCTGGTCGCTGCAGTCTTTGTATTCGGGTAAGTGGCCCCATCGGGACCACAATGGACACTTATTTCCTTCATCTTCCTGGCGGGGAAAGTTGGCAGGTCAAGATCTGGCGGCAGGTTTCACTGGTTATCTTTTCTCTGTCATTGGAGACATGGATTATTTTTCATCGATACTACAGCTTCCTCACTTTAGCTGGGCAAAGGGGCCGTGTGCACTTTGCAAATGTACCCTTGGTGGAGTGACCACATGGACAGACTTTAGAAAGACTGCGGCTTGGCTAGGTACTCGGTGGAGCAAAGCCGACTGGTTTAATTTTGAGGCTCGCTCCATGAACCCTTTATTCAACGAATTACCTGGGCAATCTTGTCACACTGTGTCGCTCGACCTGATGCATTGCAAGTACTTGGGCCACGATATGTATTTCTTTGGATCAGTTCTCACACTACTATGCCAGTACCTCTTGCCTGGAAGCGAAGAACAGAATTTGAAAAGATGCTGGGACTTTTTGAAGCGATTCTACAAGGAGCATTCCATTCCTTCGCCTTATCGATATCTGACTAAGATATCTATGTTCATACGCAAAAAGAAGTTTCCCAAACTACGGGGCAAAGCGTCGGAGGTGCGACACCTAGCAAAACCACTATCAGCATTGTGGGCTCATTTCATGAATAAGAACGTGGAGACCCACAGACAAATCGATTTATATCTCAGACTAAATATCCAGTTTGAGAACATTTTGGACGACCACAAGGATGACTATGCTTTACCCCTTGCTGCCTACACTGCCTTTATGAATGCGGCATTTTCTATGATGCAACTGTGCTCATCACTGGCTGACCATTTTATTCAAGAGGGTATACCCATGTTCGACATGACGTCGAAGGCGCATGCTGTCCTGGAGATTGCAATTCTCAGTCGTCACATAAACCCGAGAACTACTTGGTGCTTCCGAGGAGAAGACATGATGCAGAAAAGTCAAGTTTTGCTACAAAGTTGCGTTCGAGGCAACAACGGAGCCCTTTGCTTCAGGAAGATGCTTGCCCACTATAGATTGGGTTTACACATGCTTTTCATTGAGCACAAAGATTGAAAAAGTGACAAAAAACATGGCTTGGTTGTGATGGGACTCTATATGCTGGCGAGAAACTTGTGAACACAGAGAGAAATTTGTCGTATACATACATATCTATATATATATACTTGTTTATTGATTTATTGTGCATTCATTCGTTTATTTGTTTATATCACAACACTAGATAGATTTCTCCTATGTATATCTACATATTTATATTGCAGGTTGTTTATGTCTTTAACTTTTAGGATATGACATGGTTCTTTTGGGATCACTCTCAACGGAGAAACGCAGTCACACTTAGAGAGAGAGAGACCTGGAGAGTCATGAGATACTTGGAGAGAGATGGTTCTTCGATGTGGTGTGAGTGTGTTTTCTCTCTCTGTCAGAATTCGTTTATCAAAGGGCCTTTGGCGCCATCCCGACACGTCTTCCTGAGACTTTTGTGATCTCCCGAGCTCAAGCCATGGACGTGCTTTGCGACCGCGATGAGTCCCCGTGGTTCAGGGTCCTTTCAGGAATGGTGTTCCTTATCAATGCTGGCTATAGGGATCGATTTTTCTTATCCCTCATGGACTTGCACCTTGGTGAAAAATAGTACTTGTCTTACTTTTTTTTCTTTCTTTTTGGAGTGGATGCTCGATTAAAAGGGTTTTGCCAAACACTCTTGACGTGCAGGCACAAGTTTTACAATGGCTGTCCATGGCAACGAAAGGAGGACCATTCCGCAGGGTTCCACGAACGTTCTCGCTTTCAGTGGGGAAGTTGGGAAATCAAGGCAAGGGGAGTTCAAACATATTTGTTGGGTCTAGGGCATAGAGAATCTAAAGTGTTTTCAAGTTTAGGTTTTGTATTAAACACAAAAAAACATTGTGGTAAACACCTTCGTTGAATCTGTTGGTGTCCAACCTTGCTGCCAGACCATGAATGGCCTTGTGGTTCCTCGATGAGATCTTTGGATGTCGAACCGTGGCAAAGCTCGAGACTTTTTCGAAAGTTGGCTACATGTGCAGATGCGAGACTCTCCAGGCAGCGACCTCACCTACCAAGTATTGGTCTTCTTGGATCGGCTCTTCATGGCAGGCTTGAAGCTATATGGTGAAGACCACCGAGATGTCTTTGAAAATCCTGAAGACTTCTTTGTGCGAATGCTGCGACATGAAGGGCAACTTGGATACACCATATGAGATTACATTCTTCATCTTTTGATAGATAGATAGATAGATAGACATATATATATGTGTATTTTTACGTGGTTTTGTTGGATGCAGAGAAAACTATACAATCACCTGACCTCCATACTTTTTGAAAAACATTATGGGTGTGTTTTTTATTTCACTGAGAGGTGTTTCCCTGAATCCAATGAGGTACCGTGTCGAAGATCAGAAAATATGGCTTGTTGACGAGAGCAGCGGCTGGTGGGAGGAGAAAAAGCCATGTGGTCTAAATTTGAAGGAAGCGTTTGACTTGTTGCACGATGTGAAACTAAAAGACATCATGCAGCAGTGGGTTGAACCCAATGCTCCTTCTTTGCAATGGCAATAATGAGAAGTATATACGGAACATGTGCAATTTATGTTTACAAAATATTTCAGCTGGACTGAAACACATGAACACCCACATATATATGTATATTACGATCCTATACAGTATATGAATAATTTCATGATGTTATCATGTGAGAGGAGTGTCAGAATATACAAAAAAATCATTGCCTTTGCCGCATATAAGCTTTTTTGCTTTTGAATTTTGGCCGGCCTTCACCCGAAAAACTTCGGTGTTGTGGCAGAGCTGAGACTAGGAATTGTCTAGTCTGGTAAAGATCTGAAGGATCCCTTTTTAGGACCCACAGCTGTTTACAGGACTTGGACTTTTGGATGTGTCCAAATCTGTACTATGTAGGAATAGGCACGGAGACAAACCGATCTCTGGCTCAAAAAGGAAAGCAGTGCTCTTGTGTGTGAGGGGAATGGGAACGAATTTGGGCGAGAACCCTGAGAGAAAACTTTGAGAGAACTTCGAGAGAACTTTGAGAGATTTCTTGGACATGTGTTTTTTGAGAGAGATGATATTTAATGTTGTTTTTGGGAGATATGATATATTTAGAAAGAAAGTATGTTCATTGGATTTCACTGAATACAGCTACGATGTGAACAATGCAAATATTCATTTGGTAGTCATACCTTCCTAACTATTTCGATAACACTCTCACAGTCAACTCTCATGGTAAACTCAAACAGTCAACTCTCATGGTAAACTCCTACAATCAACTGTCATGGTAAACTCTCACAGTGAACTCTCATGGTAAACTCTTACAATCAACTCTCATGGTAAACTCTCACAATCAACTCTCATGGTAAACTCTCACAGTCAACTCTCATGGTAAACTCAAACAGTCAACTCTCATGGTAAACTCAAACAGTCAACTCTCATGGTAAACTCCTACAATCAACTGTCATGGTAAACTCTCACAGTGAACTCTCATGGTAAACTCTTACAATCAACTCTCATGGTAAACTCTCACAATCAACTCTCATGGTAAACTCAAACAGTCAACTCTCATGGTAAACTCTCACAGTGAACTCTCATGGTAAACTCTTGTACAATCAACTCTCATGGTAAATTCACAGTCAGCTCTCTCATGGTAAACTCTCACAGTCAACTCTCGTGGTAAACTCTTACAAAATCAACTCTCATGGTAAACTCACAGTCAGCTTTCATGGTAAACTCTTACAATCAACCCAAATGGTAAAGTCTCACAGAATCAACTCCCATGGTAAACTCTCACAGAGTCAACTCTCATGGTAAACTCTCACAGTCAACCCTCATGGTAAACTCTCATATATTTTGCACTCATACATAGAAAACGCTCAATCCATCAATGCCTCAAGCAAATGAACATGTTTCTCTTTCTCTTCATGTCTGATACAAAATGATAAGTGGGGACAGATCAAAAAAACTATCAGAGGATGTATACACCCAAAAAGAGATGCCCCAACAAAGGTATACTGTGAGATATACCATGTATGGTGCTGTGCATTTACTGTGAGAGACCACATGTTGATAACATACTGTGAGAGATTTTGAATTATGAGGAATGCCGAGAGAGAGGGAGAGAGAGAGAGAACCACTATGTAGCAAAAGAGACATTGCCTGTAGTATCTTGACCGTTCGTGTTCTAATGCATATATAATATATTGATGCATGCACTGAATCAAACTGGAACATGTTTACATGACATTGTGTGGTCAGAGCCAATGACAGTTTTTATGATCAAAACATCAAAATGCATCAATATATATGTATATATATTTATCACAACTTATTGCATGATCGTGTGTGTCCACAAAACTAAGAGGCAAATTATCTGTCAAATTTTGATATAAAACTCCGAAGCCAACTTCGAAGTTTTATATCGTGCCCCAGGTGTGACCCCGGAGTTCGTTCGAAGTTTTACTGTCAAAAATAGATATCTATTTCGTTAAATTCTATCTATTTATAGATATCTATTTCGGCAAAATTTATCTATATAGGTAACTCTAAATCTAACTATTTTTTTGAAAATAGACAAATCAAAATAGATAGATTTCCAGAAAATAGTTTGCAAAAAATCTATCTATTTTGTAGTTTTTAAATAGTCTAAAATAGTTATCTAAAAAAATATCTTATATATAAAAATCTAGGAAATAGTCAAAATCCTAGAATAGATAGGATTTTGTCTAATTCGGTCTATTGGGTTTGAGAACAGCTCCTGCCTCCCTGCAGAATTTTGAACGGTTCGAAACAGGGCGGCACAGCGCGTTTTGGTTTTCGTGGGAGCTTCTGGGGCCGTCCTGGGGTCCCCCCCACGATCGGCCAGAAAATGGCTCGTTCTCTGGAATGCTATGTCAGCGGTTTAATAGCAGGATCGCAGCCGTCAAAATTCGATTTTTGGAGCTTTTCCAGGCTTTTGCCAGGTCAATTTTCTGCTCCAAATCAAGCTCTTTAGAAGTCCCAAGCTTCCAAAACAGCATTTCAAAGCTCAGAAAAGCAAAATTGAGCTTAAAATGTCGAAAAACGACTTCGGGCTCGACGCGTCCGACCGGGAAAATTGTGCTTTGAGAACGGCTCCTGCCTCCATGCAGTTTTTTTGGCAGATACAAACAGGGCGGCACAGCGCGTTTTGCCTTTCGTGGGAGCTTCTGGGGCCGTCCTGGGGTCTCCCCCCCACGATCGGCGAGAAAATGGCTCGTTCTCTGGAATCCTATGTCAGCGGTTTAATAGCAGGATCGCAGCCGTCAAAACCCGCTTTTCGGAGTGTTTCCAAACTTTTGCCAGGTCAATTTCTGCTCCAAAACAAGCTCTTTAGAGGTCCCAAGCTTCCAAAACAGCATTTCAAAGCTCAGAAAAGCTAAATTGAGCTTAAATTGTCGAAAAACGGTTTCCGGCTCGACGCGTCCGACCGGGAAAATTGTGCTTTGAGAACGGCTCCTGCCTCCCTGCAGAATTTTTGGCAGATACAAACAGGGCGGCGCAGCGCGTTTTGCTTTTCGTGGGAGCTTCTGGGGCCCTCCTGGGGTCCCTCCCCCCCACGATTGGCCGGAAAATGGCTCGTTCTCTGGAATCCTATGTCAGCGGTTTAATAGCAGGATCGCAGCCGTCAAAATTCGATTTTTGGAGCGTTTCCAAACTTTTGCCAGGTCAATTTCTCATCCAAATCAAGCTCTTTAGAGGTCCCAAGCTTCCAAAACTGCATTTCAAAGCTCAGAAAAGCTAAATTGAGCTTAAATTGTCGAAAAACGGTTTCGGGCTCGACGCGTCCGACCGGGAAAATTGTGCTTTGAGAACAGCTCCTGCCTCCCTGCAGAATTTTTGGCAAATACAAACAGGGCGGCACAGCGCGTTTTGCGTTTCGTGGGAGCTTCTGGGGCCGTCCTAGGGTCCCCCCCACGATCGGCCAGAAAATGGCTCGTTCTCTGGAATGCTATGTCAGCGGTTTAATAGCAGGATCGCAGCCGTCAAAATTCGATTTTTGGAGCTTTTCTAGGCTTTTGCCAGGTCAATTTCTGCTCCAAATCGAACTTTCTGGTTAAACAATTTGAAGCCAACACTTGCTCTGCGCGCCGAATTGCGGCGCGTCCAACCCACCCGACCAAGGAGGGGTGGCCCCCAGACCGGCGGCTAACCTTCTACTGGGGCTCGCTG